AGCATAATAATAAGTAAATTATATGTTGTTGTTAGTGCCATAAAGTCGGTTTCTGAGGCAGTATCACTATGAAAGTAGATTGCCTCATCTTCCTTCCGAGGAGTGGCTGGTGGGTTTGAACTGCCAGCCTTCTGGTTAGCAGTCAAGTGCCTTAGGCACTATGCTACCAGAGCTCCTATAATATATGTAAATTATATAATAGGTTATAAAGTGGTAAGTACTGTGGAATATAGAAAAATCAAGGTGAGGGAAAGAGGGGAGGGGGAGGATGGGTTGTAATTATTAACTAGGTGGGCAAATAGGTGAAATTTGGGCAAAGATATGAAGGAGTAGCCATCCAGATGCCTGGGGAATGTGTATCTGCCAGTGCCGAGGCACTAAGTAGGAGTGTGTCTGGATTATGTGATGTGTAGTAAAGAAGCTAAAGGGTCTGGTGAGGAGTGAGCTGGAGAAGAGGAGTTAAGCATGAATCCAGGAGGGAGGAAGAGGGAAGATCATCGTCTGTTCTAAGAACTGTGACTTTTACTCTGAGGACCATGGAGAGCAAAGGAAGGACATGGTCTAAATAGTATTTTAAAAGGATGATTCTAGCCGCTGTATTGAGAGTAGACCGTAAAGAAAGGAGTGTTTGCCAGCTTTAAAAAATGTATAATTAGTTATACATAATAAAGAGACTTATTTTCTCATCCTAAATAAATACTGACTTTCTTACCTAATTCTTGAATTTCCAGTTTTATAATTTTTGTCTCAAAGAGAACCCCTTCAGCTCCCTCAAAATCTGAAGCCACTCCTGTCTGGCACGTATTATGTGGGTGTATAATGTCTGTCAGTTTGTCATACTGTGGTGGTTTGCATGTTGTTGTGAGGCTGGAGGCTACGCCACTGGTATTTCACATACCAGGAAGATCACCCACGGTGGACAGGTTTCAGCGGAGATTCCAGACTAAGACAGACTGGGAAGAAGGAAGGGGCCATCTACTTCTCAAAGAATTGGCCAGTGAAAACCTTCTGAGTAGCAGTGAAACACCATCTGATATATTACTGGAAAACTTTATGAATAGCCCTGAAACATTGTCTGATGTGGTGCCGGAAGATGAGCCCTTCAGGTCGGAAGGCACTCAAGAAATGACTGGGGAAGAGCTGCCTCCTCAGGGCAGAGTGGACCTTAATGATGTGGATGGAGTAAAGCTTCTGGGAGCTCCATTTGCTGATGTGGCACGACTCAAAATGAGAAGAAACAGCTGCTCACTGCCATCGAGTTGATTTGAACCATAGCGACTCCTCCTTGGGTTTCAGATGTGGTATCACTACGGAAATAGATTGCCCAATCTTTCTTCTGAAGAGCGGATGATGGGTTTGAACCCCCAGCCTTCTGGTTAGCAGTCAAATGCCTTAGGTACTATGCCACCAGACAAACATCCATTAATAATCAGAACAGAATGTGTGAAGTATGAATCTAGGAAAACTGGAAGTTGTCAAAAATGAAATAAGATGCATAAAGATTGATATCCTAGGCATTAGTGAACTGAAAAGGACTGGTTTTGGCCATTTTGAATCAGACAACCATATATGTGATCTACTATGTCGGGAATGACAAATTGAAAAGGAATGGCATGACATTCATCATCACAAAGAATGTTTCAAGATCTGTCCCGAAGTACAATGCTGTCAGTGATAGGATAATATCCATACGCCTACAAGGAAGACCAGTTACTACTACTATTATTCAAATTTATACACCAACCCCCAAAGCCAAAGATAGGAAATTGAAGATTTTTACCAATTTCTGCAGTCTGAAATTGACCAAACATGCAATCAAGATTGTCGATTATCACTGGTGATTGGAATGCAGAAGTTGGAAACAAAGAAGAATCACCGGTAGTTGGAAAATCTGTGCTTGGTGATAGAAATGATGCTGGAGATCACATAATAGAATTTTGCAAGATCAATGACTTATTCATTGCAAATAGCTTTTTCCAATAACGCGAATGATGGCTATACATGTGCACTTCACCAGAAGGAGCACACAGGAATCAGACTGACTACTTCTGTGGAAAGAGGCAATGGAGAAGCTCAATATCTTCAGCCAAAAGAAGGCCAGGAGCTGACTGTGGAAAAGACCATCAACTACTCATATGCAAGTTCAAGTTGAAGCTGAAGACAGTTAAAAGAAATCCACAAGAGCCAAAATATGGCCTTGATTATATCCCTCCTGAATTTAGAGACCGTCTAAAAAATAGATTTGATGCATTGAACACCAATGACCAAAAACCAGAGGAACCATGGGATTACATCAAGAACATCATCCATGAAGAAAGCAAAAGGTCATTAAAAAGACAGGAAAGGAAAAAAAGGCCAAAATAGATGTCAGAAGAGACTCTGAAACTTGCCCTTGAATGGAGAGTCTAAAACAAATGGAAGAAATTATGAGATAAAAGAGCTGAACAGAAGATTTCATAGAGCAGCTTGAGAAGACAAAGTCAATTATTATAATGATCTGGAGTTAGAAAACCAAAAGGAAAGAACACACTCAGCATTGCTCAAGCTGAAAGAACTGAAGAAAAAAAATTAAGCCTCGAGTTGCAATATTGAAAGATTCTATGGGCAAAATATTGAATGATGCAGGAAACATCAAAAGAAGAAGGAAGGAATACACAGAGTTATTGTACCAAAAAGAACTGGTGGATGCTCATTTATTTCAGGAGGTGGTATATGATCAAGAACCAATGATATTAAAAGAAGAAGTCAAAGCTGCACTGAAGGAATTGGCAAAGAACAAGGCTCCAGGAATTGACAGAATACTCACTGAGATGTTTCAACAAATGGATGTCATGCTAGAGGCACTCACTTGTCTATGCCAAGAGATTTGGAAGACAGCTACCTGGCCAACTGACTGGAAGAGATCCATATTTGTACCTATTACAAAGAAAGGTGATCCCAAGAATGTGGAAATTATAGAACAATATCATTAATATTACATGCAAATATGATCTTACTGAAGATAATTCAAAAATGGTTGCAGCTGTATATTGACAGAAAACTTCCAGAGGTGCAAGCTGGATTCAGAAGAGGACGTAGAATAAAGGATATCATTGTTGGTATCAGATGGATATTGGCTCAAGGCAAAGAATACCAGAAAGATGCTTACTTGTATTTTATTGACTATGCAAAAGCATTCGATTGTGTAGATTGTAACCAATTATGGATAACATTGAGAAGAATGGGAATTCCAGAACACTTGATTGTGCTCATCAGGGACCTGTACGTAGACCAGGAGGTTGTTGCTCAAACAGAACAAGAGAATACCCCATGGTTTAAAATTGGGAAGGGAGTGCATCAGGGTTGTATCCTTTCACATACTTATTCAATTTGTACGCTGAGCAAATAATCTGAGAAGCTGGATTATATGAGGAAGAATGTGGCATCAGGACTGGAGGAAGACACATTAACAGCCTGTGATACACAGACGACACAACTTTGCTTGCTGAAAGTGAAGATGACTTGAAGCACTTACTGATGAAGATAAAAGACTTCAGTGTGCAGTATGGATTACATCTCAACATAAAGAAAACAAGAATCCTCACAACTGGTCCAATGGGCAACATCACAATAAATGGAGAAAAGAGTGAAGTTGTTAAAGATTTCATATCACTTGGTTCCACAATCAACACCAATGCAAGTAGCAGTCAAGACATCAGATGACTCATTGCACTGGGCAAATCTGCTGCAAAAGACCTCTTTCAAGTGCTGAAGAGCGAAAATGTCTCTTTGAAGACTAAGGTGTGTCTAAACCAAGCCATGGTATTTTCACTCACCTCATATGCATGTGAGATCTGGACAACGAACAAGGAAGATGGAAGAAGAGTTGATTCTTTTGAGTTGTGATGTTGGTGAAGAGTACCATGGACTGCCAAAAGAACGAACAAATCTGCCCTAGAGGAAGTGCAGCCAGAATGCTCCTTGGAAGTGAGAAAGGCCAGACTTCGTCTCACCTACTTTGGTCTTGTTGTCAGAAGGGACCATTTCCTGGAGACGGATATCATGCTTGGTAAAGTGGGGAGTCAAGTAAAAAGGGGAAGGCCCTCAAGGAGATGGATTGATACAGTGGCTGCAACAATGGGCTCAGGTATAGCAAGGACTTGCGAGGCTGTCACAGGATCGGGCAGTGTTTTGTTCTGTCCTACAAGGGGTCGCTATGACTCGGAGCCGACCTAACAACATAACAACGTAGAAAAGCTGCAAATCAGGCCTGGTGAGCAGAAGGGATGCAGGAATGCAGGATGTAGGGATGTAGGTGTACAGCGCATAGACACACAGTCTTCGTTTGGTGGATGTAAAAAGTCTCCAGAGACTAATAAAGCTCTCCTTGAGAGCGTTCCCACTGTGCGATCCTGACAGCAGGGGCGGTGCTCCCTCCTCCCCTTCAGCTGCGAGCCGAGTCTCAGACTTTCTAATTGGGTTAGACTCAAAAGTGGGCAGGGTTTACGCGTGGGCATGCTCATAGACCAGATGTGGGCGCAGTCTCGGTTGCCTTGACTACCGTAGCTGGGTTGCCTCAGACGCTGCAGGAAGCCCTTGCAGCGCGTCGCGGGCTGGTACCTGACGGAATGTCGTCGCAGTAACTCAGTTTTCCAGTAATGCGTAGGAGCAGTAGGGATAACAGCTCCGTGCACTTTATTGCTCTCCAATTTCTTGGCAGATGGTCTGATGTCTGACTGGGTGCTCTGGGCCGACCCCCCGGCTCTGAGCGCGCGCCTGGACCGCTCCAGGGCGGGGAGGGGGCCGCAATTCCGCCAAAACCGTCTGGCGAATTACTGGCTGCAGACTTCTTTTCCCCCGAGGCGTTCATTTTGTATCCATCCCTTTATTTGCTGCCACCTAAAAGCACCTTTAGAAGGGGCGGGGGCTCTGTCTGAAGGAAGCTCTTATTTGCAGATCCACGCAGCTGGTTGTCGGGAGGCGGTGCCGGGGGAGGTCGACCTCGAACCTGCAGTAATAGGGCTTTTGTCTTTGCAGAGCCATGGGCAGCAAGAAGAAGGAAATTGCCCTGCAGGTAAGCCTCTGCACTTGGTTGTGGGGGTGGTTAGGGGAGTGGCTTGGAGCGGGGAGTGCAGTATAAAACTGATGTTCTGGTTACCACCATATCTGACAGACTGTTCTCAAATTTGAAGGTTGTATCGTTCCTTCTTAACGGAAAAAAGTTATCTCAGACTCCTAGTCATGACGAACTTTTGTCTACTTAAATATACACAAACGTAAAACTGTATAACCTTCATATGCATATAGCACTTACACAACCATGAAAACCAAACTTGCATTAAAATAAAATTACAAAACCAAGAAAATTTGAATCAACATAATTTGATATGATCATTACTTTTTTGTTGTTGAAATGTAATTATGGTTTGCTGTGAGAATATGATACAGGCTCTTTTTGAGTTTGGGCAGGCTTCTGTAATCGTGTGCTCTGTGGAGACCCAGTTCTCTCACCACTGTTCTCTTCAAACATTCACTTATTCAACCAAAATGTTTTGAGAAATACTATGTACTGGGTGGAATCCCAGAGTGGTACAAATGGTTAATGTGCTTGACTGTTAACCACAAGGTTGGAAGTTCAAGTCCAAAGAGACCTCCGAAGAAAGGCCTGGTGATCTACTTCAGAAAAACCAGCCACTGAGAACCCCATGGAATGCATTTCTGCTCTGAACACACATGGCTCTCCATGAGTTGGAACCAAGTCATGGGCTACTGGTGGTGGTGGATGGGCTGGGCATTCATCATTTAGAGTGCCTTACTTCATTTACACCTGGGGAAAGTGACTCCATAAGCCACTGTCTCCTCTTTTCTTTTTGATCTTGGACAATAAGTTGTGGTTGATGCTAAAGGGATGGTGTGGGCCCTGGAGTTGGGAGGGAGTGCTTCCTCATAGGAGATCATCTGGATGACCCATAATGTGGGTACATTTTAAAACAAACTTTAAAATACCCCTTACACAACTTGTGGCCCATCACAATACCTGCTCAGACCACAGGTGCTTCCTGGAGTCAGAGTTTTGTGGTTTTGAGACACCTGATTTCTCTTTTATTCCCCTCAGTGGGACAGTAGCTGGCAAGTGAATTTGAAAACCATAGTGATTTTAACTCTCTTGTGACTCATAGGACGTATGTCACCGCCCAACATTTTCAGCCTCTCAGATTTCTCTGGAAGCTGCTATCCGAATTGTAGTATGTGCTGCACCTAGCAGGGACTGATAAAACTGTATGAATCTGAAGAAAGGGACTTACCCCACCAATCCTACCACCCATGTCAACTGGGGACATATGTGTCCCACATAATTATATCAAAATCCAAGTTATCTCAAAAAAAATTTTTTGCCTTGATTTCAGCATGCCTTCCATTACTGAAAACATGGTATCAACAAAAAATTCAAGACAGAAAATAATTCAGTCATGAAAAGGTTAAAAAGGGAGGAAAAGGGAAAGTTGCCTAAGTGTAAGGATAGTACATGCTGGGGGGTGGAAAGCTTTGGATTGGACCTCAGACCTGATGTAGTTCTTGGCTTTTCTCTCAGCCAACTTTGTGACTTTGGGGAAATCATTAAGTTCTCTGGGATACAGCTTGTCCATCTGTAGAATGAAGATGTTGGGTGAATTTTCCTTTTTTTTTTTTAATGCATTTTGTTGAAATATAATTTATGTACAGTGAAGTATACAAAACTGAAGTAACATGGGCCCATGCATTCTTTTTTTTTTTTTTTTTGCAGTGTTCCCTCCCCTCCCCTCACACCCCTGGCAACCAACAAAGAAAGTTTCCTTTCATATATAAACCTTTCCTTGACTCTCCACAACAATGAACTGATACTATATTTGTCCTTCTGTGATTGACTTATTTCACTCAGCATAATGTTCTCCAAGTTCATCCATATTATGCGTTGTTTTGCAGACTCTAAATTATTTTAGAGTGAGTGCTGGGGTGAGATGGTATCTCATTTTTGTTTTGATTTACTTCTCTCTGATGACCAATGATTGTGAGCATCCCTTCATGTATTTGCTGGCCACCTGAATGTCCTCCTTGGTGAAGGGTTTATTCATGTCTTCCACCCATTTTTCAATTGGATTGTTAGTTCCTTCACTGTTGAGGTGTTGGAGTTTTCTATAAGTCTTAGAGATAAGTCCCTTGCCAGATATGTACTTATCGGCAAATATGAATTTGTTGCTGTCATTTTTGTTACGTGCTTTTTCATGGTGTCGATTTCTTTGTTCCATATAATTTTCCATGCTAAACTCATTTTGTTTATGAATCATGTTATCACTTCCTTTGTTGCTATTTAGTATTTGCTAAATATTTGTGCTGGTCCTCTTTTTTATTTTGATGTGAAGGTTTGCCATTTTTCTTTGAAGTTACCCTGTGATTTACAGTTTTCTTCCAAGGTTTAGAACAGTCCATTCTATCTTGTAGTTGTCTTGACTTCCCTCCCATCTAGAAGTTCTGTTGTTGTTGTTGTTGTTAAATGCCGTGAACAACAAAAAGAAGTTCTGTAACTACAGTTTATTCCCTCTTTTTGGTTTGTAGTTGTTCTCATTTGTCAATTGATGTCTCTGGTTCCCTGTTAACAATCTTGTAGGCTTATTTACTTTGGATATTTCCATAGCTGGATTGGTTTCTGGGTTATATCATCATGCGTGTTAATGGTCAGTTGTTGTTGGCTATTGTTTCTCTGTCCAAAGGGCTCCCATTAGCATCTCTTGTAAGTTTGGTCTGGTTTTAACAAATTCCCTTAGTTTCTGCTTCTCTGGAAATGTCCTAATTTCACCATCATATTTGAGGGACAGTTTTGCCAGGTACATAATTCTTGGTTGGAAATTTTTCTCATTCAGGGTTTTATATATACCATCCCATTGTCTTCTTGCCTGCATGGTTTCTACCGAGAAATCCGAGCTTAGTCTTATTGGTTGCCCCTTGTAGGTAACTTTTCTTTTTTCCTGTGCTGCTCTCATGATTCTTTCTTTGGCTCTGGTTTTGGTAAGTTTGATGATGATATGTCTTGGTGATTTTTTTTGGGGGGGGTCTATCCTGTTTGGGGTTTGTTGGACTTTCTGAATGGATATATTCTCATCTTTCGTCATACCAGGAAAATTCTCTTCCAACAAATCTTCAACAATGTTCTCTGTGGTTTTATTTGTCTCTTCCTGCTCTGGAATTCTGATTACATGTAGGTTATTCCTTTTGATGGTATCCCACATGATCCTTAGGCTTTCTTCATTTTGTTTTGATCTTTTCTTCTGATGTATCCCTTTGCAAAGAAGTGTTCAGGTATTTGCCTTCAATCCCCCTAATTCTGTCTTCCATTGATTCAGTTCTGCTCCTTTGCCCATTCAATGAGTTATCTACATCTGAAAATTTAGTATTAATCTTCTGGGTTTCTGTCTGTAGGTTTTGTATCATTTCTAATTTTTTATTTATTTTGTCATTTTGTTCTTGTATTGTCTTTCAAAATTGTTGTAGAGTTTTCTCTGTGTTTTCCTCAGTTTTGTCAGTTTTCCTTGATCAGTGTCTCAATTCGTTGAAGATACATAAATATAATTCTTTTGAATTTCTTATCAAGGAGTTCCAATGCTGCCTCTTCCTCAGGGATGTGTTTTGGGTTTATATCCTGGTCCTTTGTTTCTCCTGCTTTATCTTGCTTCTTTGTGTGGACTGTGATGCTCTGTTGTCTCCGAGGCATTGTGACGTTTTTGTGTTTACATTTAATTGTTGATTGTATGTTAGAGTGACTTGCCCACGATTTTCATTTTCTTTGTTTTGTTTGTATTTTATCTATGCAAGCAGAGTACTGTGCTGTGCTCCTCTATTCACTATTTGACAGCACTTACACACTTACCATCTGTCTCCTTTCCTGTTGTCAGCCTCTTGTATGTCCCTGCTGACCTTGGCAAACAGAGCCTATTCTTAGGTTCCTGGAATGCAAATGAGAATGCTGTCACTTTAAAACCCAAAATGGTTGCCCTTGTAAAGATTCAAAATGGCTGTGCCCTCAGTCACTTTAAATATCCAAAATGGCTGCCACATGTAAACAATCAAAATGGCTGCACCCTCTGGAGAGCGGAAAGTCCCCAGCTCAGGTTGTCTCCCTCCCTGCTTTCTCCCTTCCTAGTCATAGGCCACCAGGACAGTCGTCTCTGCAGCCCTTGGTGACCAGGGCTGATCTTTAGGTCAATTCTCAGGTCCCAACACCACTTGGAAATATTTAGGCTGTTGGTCCTGTCAGAGTAGCTGACAGTCCGCAGCTCTGACCATTTTAGTACTCACTGTTTTCATTCAGGTTTTTCCACTAGTTGGTGCCTAATCCACTTCTGCATAGCTCCTTTCAAAGCCCAGGGCTCCAGGATTATCTTCTGTATTCCTGTCCATTGGTTTTTCTTTTCTTTGTTGAAGAGGGTCTGTGTCACTTGTCTGACTATTCCTCCATCTTACCGGAAGTCTGAATTTTCCTTAAGGGCCTTCCAGCCTTGATATTCTTGGATTCTGCACAGTTATTAAAATTTTCATATGAATCTATTCTACTTGTAAATTAATTGTAAATTCCTAGTCCTGCTACTGATAAGCTATATGAACAGTTTCTTCAGCCTCTCGGAGCCTCCATATCCTTTATGTAAATAAATAAATAAATAAATAAATAAAACCAACTCACTGCCATTGAGTTGATTCTGACTCATAGTGACCCCCTTTGGGTTTCTGAGGCAGTAAATCTTTACGAAAGTAGATTGCCCAGTCTTCTTCTTGAGGAGTGGCTGGTGGGTTTGAACCACCAGTCTTCTGGTTAGCAGTCAAATGCCTTGGGCATTATGCCACCAGAGCTCCAAGAGTATATATAGCCTGCAGAGCTGTGATGAGACTCCTTCAGACATGGCCAGGCTGGTCTATGTGCTACCTGTGGTATCACTGATACTGCTGCCCATGTGATTGCTTGTCTTTTCATGTTTGTTCTCTAGTCCCCAGCTCAGTTGAATGCACTTAGAGGGTAGGAACATTTGTTAGCAGTATTATGTTCTC